GGTGCCGATGTTGATAGTCAGGTCAAGAGTGGGACAATCTTTTCCCGGAAGGAAAAGCAGTTCAGTCTTGTCAAGGTTGAGCTTGAGGTGATGAGCGGACATCCACTGAGAGATGTCAGCTAGACAAGCAGAGATGCGTGCGACGACCTGGGTCTCTGAGCGGGGAAAAGACAGAATTAATTGGGTGTCGTCAGCGTAGCAGTGGTATGAAAAACCATGCGGGCTAATGACTGATCCGAGCGAGTTTGTGTACAGGGAGAAGAGGAGGGGACCAAGAACAGAGCCCTGATGGACCCCTGTAGTTAATTGACAAGGGTCGGACTCGGACCCTCTCTAAGTTACCCTGTAGGTACGGTCTTTCAGGTATGAGGTGAGGAGGGAAAGTGCAGAGCCTGAAACTCCAAGTTCTTGGAGAGTGTGAAGGAGGATCTGATAGTTCACCGTGTCGAATGCAGCAGACAGGTCCAATAGGATGGTGACAGAGGAGAGGGATGCTGCTTTGGCAGGGGGACTGACGAGGGGACTGACGAGCCTGCCGAGATGTGAGAGGACAGAGAGAGTCCAGAGAGGATGAGAGAGTAGAGAGGAGAGTTTCTGCAGCAGAGTTTGGAGGCAGGAGTTGGAACGAGTCAGAGGAAGGGAGGGCTGAGAGCACCGATGAGGCAAAGGTAGAGGGGGAGAGGGAACGGAGGTTACGGCGGACAGGTGCAGGATGAGAAGAGATTAGTTTGTTATGTTTGGAAAGGGGTAGAGAGAATGAAATGAAGAAGTGATCGGATGTGTGGAGCGGGTTTACAGAGAGGTTAGAAGTAGTGCAGTTCCTTGAGAATATGAGATCAAGGACATTGCCAGCTTTATGAGTTGGTGGGGAAGGAGACAGTGAGAAAGCAAAGGCGGTTAACAGAGATGTTAGTTCGTCTATCTTCCCTGTCTGGAGGTTGAAGTCTCCGAGAAGTACAGCGGGAGGGCCAGTTTCAGGGATGTGTGAGAGGAGATTATCTAATTCCTCCAAGAAGTCCCCCAAGGCGCCTGGTGGACGGTAGAGAACAACAATGGTTAACTGTATAGGATGGGTTACTGTGACGGCATGGAATTCAAAGGTGGAAGGAGTGCAGTTAGGTAGCTTGAAGAGGGAAAAGCTCCATTTGGGAGAGAGCAGGAGACCAGTGCCACCTCCTCTGCCAGTGGGTCTGGGTGTATGGGAGAAGGAATATGCTGTGGAGAGAGCTGCTGGGGTGGATGTGTTGAATGGAGTAATCCAGGTCTCAGTGAGAGCAAGGAAATCCAGGGTCTGCAGGGAGGCGTAGCCAGAGATGAAGTCAGCCTTAGGAACAGCTGACTGGCAGTTCCACAGGCCACCTGAAACTAGATGTTGGATCTCAGTGGAGCACGTGGGATAGACCCCCTTAAACTGTGAGTATTTCACTGGAAGTTTTTCCTTGTACGATGTGAGGGTCTAAGGATAGAGGGTGTCGTTTTTATCATACTGATATTCTGAACAATCTGTGCTGTTGTATTTGCTGTAAAGTGTCTCTACTGTAGGCTATTTTTATTATATGCACAGCACTTTGGCTCGACCAAAAATTGTTTATAAATGTGTTATATAAATAAAACTTGATTTGATTAGATTTGATTTGATTTTAACCTTAATGTTTTCAGGCTGAATGTTAAAAGCTGTCTGCAAGCACAACATTTCTGTAAAAGGTAGAAATAAAGCTGCAAATAAAAATGCAAAGGGTAGAGTACAGGGGAGAGCAGTCTGGGGAGTGCTCCAACACCCAGGGGAAAGGAAAAGAGGTTGGAGCTGGTGCAGCAGAGCTGGGGGTTGCCGAGCGTGAGGTGAGTTCCAGTGGAGTTGGCATGAAACAGCAAGATGACTGTAGAAAGTAGCTACAGGCTACAAGACTATAAGGTCACTTTGAAGGAACTGGAAAGTTAAATCCCAAAGGACGATGTTCCTGAGGCAAGTTGTACACGATGTTCTTGCCTCAAACATCTTCTCTGCTGAGGCAAGACGAGGGCACCTGGATGTTGTCTCTGTTCTCAGTGAGAGCGCTCCATAATGATAAATATAAGCACTCCAACATCCTAGTTGTTATAATATGCATGGCAGCGTGATAACAGTGGCATGCTGATGACAGGATCCTTTTCTCTAGCACAGCAAGTACTTTTAACATAAGCAGACATTTTAAACATTCTTCTGCTGATCAAGATTGTGGAAATCTCTATCAATTGGATCTCGAGGCAAGATTATTTTTAACCAACATAAGTAGTTCTTAATGCCCTTAGGAAAACAAGTAAATTTAAACATGACATTTACTATCCAACGACTACTTCGAAAACCTCATCTGCTAATGAAAAGCATGTGAAGAAAGCTACTCAATAGATCTTGAGGCGAGGCTGTTTTGTTAAAAAAGGGGGAAAGTTCTTAGAAATCGTCTATCTAAAAATGTTGTTGTGTAATAAGAGTCCCACAGGGATGCTAACATTCTCATCTATAAGCTATACTGCTAAGCTCTGAGAGGTCAACTGTTCCTCTGAACTGGCAGAAACATCTGTCATTTAGCCCATTTGGAAATTCTTAGATTTGGGTTGACAACTCAGAGGTCTGGTAAGATAATCAAGATTTAAATCACAATTTATTTTATAATGTGATTTTTTTTGCTTTATCTTTGATTCAGATTACATTTGGTAATATTGTTGCCCACATTAACTTGTTTTTACTTCCTGAATTTGTGATTTTATATTGTTAGAGTTATCTGTGAGGTGTCCTGATTTTCACCAAAGACATTTGAAATGTGATGAAAAACATGAAACACGATCCTTTCTAAATCAATCCACCAAGCCTTGACAGTCCCCTTTCACAATGAAAGAAGGCAAACAGACCCCCATGCAAGTGTGAGCCTGTGTGTGACAGATTGTGTCACAATCAATACACATGTATGTCTTATCATTGGGGATCGTGCACCTGTGATGCAGCACAGTGATTACAGTTAACCAAGCCATCTTTTCCCCTGTTACCCTCTTTTGTTCTCTCCAGCAATCTTCTTCCACTACAACAAGCTGTCTATTTCTATCTACCCTTAACCCTTTCTCTGCCTCCCTGACAAATAAACAAGCTTTTGTCGAGCTGCCCTGCTCATTAGGACCTATTGGCCGGACAGCTTTCTTATAAAACAAGCTGGTGTTATCGCAACTCACATTTCAGCTCTGGCGTAAAAGAGGATTAATTGTTATGGTAAAGGATAAAGAATGTTAACCAGGTGATTCTCAAAGAAAGCTTTAAAGAAATATAATGATGAAGAGTCAGGAAAATAAAAAATATATGAGAGAGAAATTAGTTTTGAGCCTGAAGTGGATCAAAAAAAGTCTATTGGACATATTTATGTGGAGGAATAAAATATGTATTTATTGGAGAATGGAAGAAATACAAATCTTCCCTCACATCACTGATATTCTTCATTAAACAGCTGCCTGTGAAAGTCTAGATTATTTATTGCATGTCGCTGTGTACTGTCTCACACACAGCCATCCACCCAACTGTGTACGCACACATGCACGCACACACGCACACACCACAAACTTTTTCCCTCTATGTTGTTGCACTCACTGCTGTTGCAGAGACAGGAAATGAAGGGAGCCGTATCAGCCAGTAATAACTGAGTGCTGATGAAGAAGCTCTGACCATGCACAGAAAGATGGAAACACAATGTGAACAGCACACTCTCACAGCCTGATCAATACACACCAGTGTTCAGCATTGACAACCAGAATAGAAAAACAATCCCACTCTCTTTGTAGCCCACACATCCATTCATTGCTCGAGTCAATCTTTACTTCTTTTAATCATGATAAGAACATGCGCACCCTTTAGATGTCAAAACAAGTGTAAAACACAGAGGTACACTATAGTTAAACCACCAGAAATATGTGGGAGTTCATGACCTATCCTACAGACAGAGGTGAAGAAATTCAAGGACCATAATCTCATTTAAAGTGTTTTAAGTAAAAGAGTATTAAAGGATTATGTGGGTGGTGTACGTTTTCTTGTTTTTTAAGGTTAGTGGAAGATGCATTGTCACTGCATGGCAATCTTATATGACAGAATTTTCTACAGACTCCTTGGTACTTAATGTAAGATTTATATTTATAGAGTACACCTGCTTTCAGGTAAATGGAAACCCTTAAGAATCAATTTACACAAAGCTGAAAAGCATGCAACACTGCCACCACATGGACCAAGTTACGTATTGCAGCAAAATAACAGTAATACATTGAGAACATCACCCAGGAAGAACACTTTCTCATTGATAAGCTCAACTAAGGAAGTAAAATAAATAGTATCACACTTGAACCAATACAACAATGTATTTGTAGTTTCAACTTGAATACATGCTTTTCAATGCTTTTTGTTTGGGTGGTGTTCAAAATTAGTGGAGTTGTGGTGCTGATGTGAGGATCTGAATCATTGCATCAGCGTTAAACATCAAACATTACATGTTTCCATATATTTAGCTATTTTAGTTATGTGTAACAGTGTTATTATTCACTTGACATCACCATGGTCCAAATCAGGTCAAGTCATGATAACCTTTGTACTCATGAATGAACATTTATGAAAGTTTTGCATTAATGAATTTAAATTTGAAGAAGTTAAAGATCACATCCGAATGAAATAAATTCAACTATTGTCCATAAAGAAAAAAACATTTAGCAAAACAATTAAAAAGCAATTAAAACTGACTTTTCTATCCATTTATTTGCCTTTTTAGCTTCAATATCTATGTATTTGTCAGTTTAATTTGAAATATGTTTATGTGTATAATTGTATTACTTACTTCTAGAAACACTTTCAATCCATTGCCCTGAGGTTGTAAATCCACCTTCTTTTTGATATCCAACACTGCCCTCCTGCGGCACTCACAGAGCATTACAGCCGGCAGAGGGCACACATCTCTCGGTGAGTGAGGCTGGTGGAGGACACACGGCTATCAGAAAGTGCAGCCACCCACCGGCAGCAGTAAGTTGGGCGCTGACAACGAACACAATCGGTATTTTCTTTAATCATGAACTGTACGTTTTTAACAAGTTGTTGTGCTATGCAGCCACCGTGGAAATAGGTTGAGATTTTGAATGTGGCTCGGAAGCAGTCACATGGTTTTTGCATAGTCAGTGAAGACACATCAGTGTGTGCAGAGCTGTACAGTCTGTGGTAGAGACGCGTTCACCAGGCTTTAGCTGTCAGTGTGTGACACACACAGTTTCAACGAGACCTGCTGACACCGGGATTCCCATCTCAGCATGCCTCACAAGAGCAAAAAAGAAAAGGTAAAGTGGATGTTTGATGCAATGGTACTTTATTACATGTTACCATTATATAATGTGGGTTAATGTGTTTCATTGATTCTTCACTCCTTAGGAAACTAAACCTGGAAGATCTAAAAAGTCTGGAAGTAAAAATGGGCCTGCAGACGACCAAGATGTAAGTATTGTTTTACTTTTCTCTGTCCAGACAGAACTTACATTGGCTTATTTTTTTTTAAATATATGCAAAACATAAAAATGCATTACTAGCATGTAGATAAAGTTTTAATCTGTGCTGCTTTTTGTGAAGACACCACAGGGTACTGCAATAAATACCCTTAGCAAGGTCAGTGCACAAGTTTTATTTGCTCTAATGAAGATGTTACATTTATTTTTTATAGGAAACAAGCTCCTTTTATGCTGTTGTGAATTTTATAAAGTAAATATATTTTGTCTTTTGTGTTAATTGGTGTCCTAATTAACAAACAGCCTTGATAGCGCTTAGGAGGTTCACTGTAAACTTCTTTTGACCTTTTTGTGGAAAATGTTTAGCATGAATTAAGGAAAAGTTGCTCATGTGACATTTCAGCATGATCTTATGACTTTATTTTGTCTGAAAACAATGGCATTCAATCCTCCCCGTCATGACTTGTGCTCTGAGTATAATACGAGCCATTGTAGCGGCTATTTTTGGCTCACATTCATTTCTGGCAGGCATCAGTAATGTTGAGTAACCTGCTTTGAGATTGGAAGAGACCTGATTGATTGACAGCTTGGCCTCCTGTTTGTTCCAATGACAGCTTTATCAGCTCCATCCATGCTCAATTATTCTGTCCACTGAGGTCCATCACAAACACTGTCAACAGATGCAGTGCAGTACACCGCCAACTATGATCAGGTTGCTTCACTGAGAATCACCTGATCTGATTCGGAAAGGAACTTGACTCTAGCCACAACACCCTCACTCCTTCTCTTTTCCCTTCAAGTCCTATGTTTTTCCCCTCCTCCCTTTGGGTGTCCTGACCCTCTCCACTCCTTCTCCTGCTTTGAACTCCATGGGTGACACTTGAGTAAAGTGATTCCTGTGCTATTTCCTTTGGGTGCAGGAACTACCTCACTCTACCTTGCTCCAGTAACGAGAGCTCTTCCTTTGCAACTCTTGTTTCTGCAGGGCTCCAATAAAAAAGTGCCTCCTGCAACTCAGTTGATGAGGGTGAAGCAGCCGGGGTCACACTCGGCCGTCAAGAGGGAGAAGAGGTTCAGCACTTCCTCCTTCCCACTCAGTGCTAACAGAGAGCTACAGAAACTGGCTGCACTGGCAGGTATGCCTAACTAAATATAAAGTTGATCTATTTTTATCTTCAATGCAACTCCACTACATGTCCCTCCTCTGTGACGACACAATGATAGGCGGTTACCCTTCTCCTGGAAAATGCTAGCTGACCTTTATCTAGATTGCATGTTTGGCCTATATGGATGAAGGGAATGCTATTAACAATTCATGGCCTTAGTGGATCCTCACAACCGCCTTTTTAACCTTTGCTCACTACATAATTTAATAGCTAAGCAGACTGCCCATCAGCTTTATCTGTAATGCAAATGATGTGTAATCAGCTGCATCTCCAGCCGTTCAGTGGAGGAAACAGATATTGCCCTGGAAGGACTCGCTCGTGTAAGATAACTCTAACTCAGACTGAATGGTCAGTGGTGGAATCTGGGCACAAAATGTAAGCCCAAATTAAACATGAACCCTAACTGGTGACATGTGTTGGAGCATCATGCAGCTGAAAGGCCTTCAATACACTTCAATACTGCACTTTAAAATAAGGTTAATCGGAAATACAGCCTGATGAAGATGTAGAAATAACTGGAAGCGTAGTTACTATAACAGAACCATCATTATACTGTAAGTTGTTAAATGTACCATGTTGATTTATCATTACGTATCACACTGATGCTGATTCTGAGACGAGACAGTGAGGTTGAGGTTTGAACATCTACATCAATCTTTCATGGCTTCTTTGTTTACACACCACATTACATTACATTACAGGATCTGGCCTAAGTGGTTTCCTGTAAACTATACACAGCTATGCTTTGTTCTCATACCTGGATGAGCCTGGTGACACTACAGAGGAACCATTGAGGTGTACAGCCCAGAGGATGTGCAAGTTTGAGGAAGACACGGTCACAGTTGACAGCATGTGACAATTAATTAAAAATAAATACAAAAAAAAGTTTGGTTTTTCATTTAAATAAACAATTTCTGTGAGTCTTGGAAAGATGAATCAGGCCACAGAGAGAAATACAAGAGAAAACTAATTGATTTTTGTTTCTAGCTAAAACTGTTGCCACCGGTTTCAGGATTCAAATTTGTGCCCTTTATATCTGACCAAATACTAAAAGAGAAAGAAAGGACACGTCGATCTGTAAGTGTGTACCCTGACAGCATCAAATAAAAATGCAACGTATATTTCTTGATCATGGATCCAATTTGAGACTTTATCTCCCTTTTTTCAATTTTGAATATCAAGCGACTACAGACAACAGTCCTACTTGCTGCCGTGGGCAACATGTTGTCAATTGAAATACAATGCATGTTTGAGTAGAGGAGTAAACAGTGTGTTGTTCCAAGTGTCAGTAAAACATTTAGTGATGGGCTCATGTTACAGACAAAGGTTGCAGACACTCTTGGTCAAATAGCTGAGCCTATGCTGCCTTCTTGTGGCTGTAAATGGGAAAACAGCTGTTTCATTGGTTGAACTTTTACAGTAAATTGTGGAGATTTTTCAGTAGTTAATGTCTAGCCTTTTTTTAAATTAAAGTTAACCTATTGTTTCTCTCTGTTAGATGAATAATGGCAGTGTATGTTATCTATTGAAAATACAAAAAAAACAAGATATTATAACTCTCAATACGTTTCTGACTTCCCTACTCCATCTGTTGCACTTACCTGCATTATCATTTGTTCATAGAAAATACCTGGATCTCTAATCCTGGGACACATACAAACTATTTTGTATTTATTAAAGTCTCACTAATTTCCTTAAACAGCTTGTCATCTGTCTATATTGCAATTATCTCACCTGAATGTTTAGTGATTTATTTGTAATGTTTTTATTGTTTTGTGGTTGTCCACCAGCCCAGTGAAAGCAGATGCAACATTTGCTTCTATAAGTTACTCTGATGCAATTACTTTCAATGGAGGACTGTGCAAAACATAAACAATACAATAATACAATTAATGGGGAGCATGTTCAAGTGCAGATTAATCCACATGTGGTGCATTAGTGAGTGTTTACGTGATCAGGATGGTGTGTGTGTGGGCCTGACTCAAAATAAATGTCAAAGCCTGTGTTGAAATTACTATTATGAGATGTGTTTTGTATTGATTTTGGAAAGTAATGGAGGTGTATGGCACAGAGAAATGGCATCACACTACACTAATAATACTGGATAATACCTTCATGGTGGCTTTTGGTCTACTTGAGATTTGTTAGAGCAATTAAAATATATGACATCGTCAGAATACTCTTTTTTGTCTTGTAAAGATCCAGAAGTCGTCCTGGAGTATTTCTGATCCGGTACACTTTTTGAGCCTGTCCTCTCTTTAGGAAGTAAGTGGCAGCTTTTAGAAAATACCGGTGCTCGTTGTCATGACTGAGGAATGTAATGGCACCTCTTGGAGAGGCTTTGGCCCCTCAGTGAGAGAATGCCAAGTGAGAACTGCTTAGTGATACTTGGCCTTCCTCTCCTGTCCTCTCCTCCCTTAACCTCGAGAAAAAAGAAAGAAGCGTTGAGAAAAAACTCAATCCACAATGAAGTTATAACTACACCTGCTGAGACAAAAAAAACCTTGCCAAAAAATCCAGACACATATTTTGGGTAATATGTCTATAAAACATATAATATTTTGTGCTCAAAACTGATCATTTATACAATGCTTTCAGACCTCAAACTTCAATAGAACTCAGTGCTTAGTAATTGAAACATTACTTACTAGTAACAATTTCCTAATTGGCCAACATTAATGAAATACATGCCTGACATTGCTTAATGTTGGAAAACAGCGCACTCCCTTTGTCATTAAATGACTGTGAAAAGACTGTGAAAATGGTCTTTAACACCACTGTTGTAAAAACTGTGGTCGGCCTTGTGATGGGAATGTGGTTTCACTTCGTGGGTCCTCTGATGAATCACATGAGAAGGACAGCTGCATGCTTTATTATATAAAGATGAAATGCAGATCATATGCATTTGTTGCATTGGAGTTTTACTTTTTTGGTGTAGATTCTTGGAACAATGGTCAGTCTAAATATACACAACCTTTATTGTGATATATATTGTGATATTCAATTTGTATGATATATATTTTTGACTTTAAAGAGATGTTTAAGTCCCTAGGTGAACTTTCATACAGGCTGCATAATGCTGCTCTGAGCTGCAGCAGTTTCCTGCGCTGTGTGCCCGTGCAATTTATTTTTCTATCCTCGCTTTCATTTCCTGTTTACAGCTAATTTTGTTAAGCACTGTACATCACCCAGAATATCATAATGCAGCAAAGTCTGCCTTTGCCCTGAACATTGTGAGTCAGAAAGCCATCTCTCAAAATATATTATTATGTTACGAAAGGGCTGATTGAAGCTTAATCCAGTTCCTATTGTGGAATACTGTATTTTTCATGTCTTTTAAAAAATAGATCTAATCCTTTCTCAGACTTCACATTATTTGCTCATATTCAGAATGACTGTGCCACACATTTACATGGTCTTTCATCTTGTGTTGTGCATAATCACACACATTTCTGTTGAATTTATTTGGTTTTCCTCACCGAAGAGCTCTGGTGTTTGAGTTCACATTCAGCCTGTCTTCAGCCCCTTGTGCGGTTTCTTCTTGTCTCCTCCTGTTCCTCATTGAATCCAAAGATTTGAGGCCCCCTCTGACCCTCTCCTCCACCTCCCTATGATAAAGCACCAAGCAGAGATGACAGGAGAAAACAATGAGAGACTTTGAAGATTCAGCCGGGGCCTCTGGGCACACTCGGAGTAAGTTATTTCCAGCTGTTTATCCTAAATCAGATTATGCTGAAACCCCTGCTAATGGTTAAACTGTGGAAAGGACTTAAATCAATCTGATCTGAGATCTGTGGCAGGGCCTGCCTCGCAGAGCGTCACCAGAGACCAGTCAGTGGAGAGGAGGAGCCACACCGAAAATTCCAATGCATGTCCCGCCTCCGACGCACCTCTCAGCCAATCATCTTCGCTCTCTGCAAGCAGCCTTTGCCTCCATTGCTCCAGAGCAGCCTGACCTCAGCCAATCAGCTGGCTCCTTCACTGCTTACATCACTAACTAGCCAGTTCCCTCCAGCAGCAGAGAGCTTCATTTTCTGATCTGCTTTTGTGCTAAAATGGAGGCTGGCCTCTCGCCCTGAGTAGATCGCCTTCCTGGTTGAGGTTTAGATGTTGACATGCAATAAATCTGGAGACAGGATGGTTGTGGATGCTCCTAATTCCAATGGGCCTTTTCAGCCGGTGGCTCTTATGCACTTCAGAGGTACGTAAGGATATAATATTCCTCCTGTATGGTGCTAGGGTATTAAGGAGAGAGCTGTGTGTTGCTGTGCTGCTGTTCCCCTCCACTGGTTACAGCTTGTTACTCCGCATTCAGGCGTTTCGCGTTTGAGATAACATCAGTGTTACTGTGCCGTGGAAAGCCGCTTTATTGTGTTTAAAACAGGAACCAGGGAACGGTTATCCTATGGGTTGTGTGCATTAATGTGGGACGCGGCAGCTACATAAAAATCTGGTTTTACTAGCTAGCTGCTCTCTGCCCATCCCCCCGCCAAGCTGTGATGTCAAAGGAAGTGAGGTCAGAGCCTAGGGAAGGGTCTTCTCCTTAGTTTTTCATGTTTGACTGTTTTTGTGTGATTCCCTATTTACACGTGCAATTATCAAGTAAAGCCTCTGAGGAAACGAATCGATATATCGTCTTTGCTCTTCATCCCCGTCTTAGCTGCTCTCCCGAGCCCGGCATTTTTGTCACACTCTAGTTCATCTGGGCACAAATTGGTCATAGTGTGTAGGCTGTAGCCAGACACAGCTCTGCAGCAAGCAGACCCTACCTCCATCTTCCCAGCCTTTACCCTTGTGAGACACGTTTCTGTCCAAGCTACACACATGAAACTTAAGCCGAATGTGTTTTTACAAGTTTATCTGTGTCAACATAACGCTGCTGTCAGTAAGACCCAGCCATAGCAGCAGTGTTTGAGGATTTAAACATCGTCCTCTGCCTCTTAATATGTGTACAATGTACTCAGTCATGTTTGAAAGGCCCAGCCTGTTAGCACTGTACTCGGGTGCAGCCCAGCGTTAGATGAAGCGTCAGGCAATTATTGATCACTCTATTGAGCCACAGAGAGGCCACTGCCTTGAATGACAACTCAGTGTTGATGAACAATCACACTCTCTGCCTCTTTCCTCTCTTTGTGTTTCTCTGTCACGCTGACCCTGTTCTGACCAAATGTCTTGTTACCCAGATCTTTCTAGATTGTGTCCAGAGTTGGCTGAAACTGAAACCTGGTCTCTGAATGTGTAAATGTTAGTCACTACTAGGGGTGTAACGGTTCACAAACATTTCGGTTCGGTACGTACCTCGGTTTTTAGGTCACGGTTCGGTACAGCAGAAAAAATTATCACAAAACACAAAATATATATATATATTTTTATTATTATTAAACTGTGAATAATGTATTCACTCAAATAAATACAAAATAAACATTAAGATTCAGCATTTCGATGAACTGAAATAATCTTTATTTGAACTGTACTAGTACCTAAGCAGCCAGTTTGACATTATGACTTGCTTGTCATTGTATTTTCATGTTTATTTTTTGAAATAAAAATGTACTTGTCCACATTGCTTGCCGAAAGGGCAGATCTGCTGGCACTAACAATGCCTCCTGCTGTGGAGAACACCCTCTCGCTAGGGACAGAGGTAGCAGACACAGCCAGGTAGCGCTTTGCTAACATGGCACCATAAGGATATTTGGCGTTTGTAATAGCTTTGGCTCGGTCTGAACGTTTTGCGAGTGGTGGAAACTTACATGCTAGTGGGAGTTGGGTTTGCGCTTCAGTCTTTTTTCTTTTGGTACCGGTGATATTCACGTTCGGGTGATGCCTTTTCAAATGAGTGTGCAAGTTTGATGTATTGCCAGCCACGTAACCAATGTTAGTTGAACAATGCTGACAAACAGCTTTGGTTTGGTCCACCTGTCTTTGTCCGTCATCCTTGAACGTAACTGCGAAACCAAAATGTTCCCAAACCGGAGACTTCAGTGATGCTGGAGGATTTTCGAGCTCAACTTTATCTGCGTTCGCCATTTTGACAGTTCCTCAAATTACTGACTAAATTTAGATAGATAGATCTTTATTTGTCATTGTACAGGTACAACGAAATTACAATAGACTCAAGGTGCCAACACGCAACAACAAGTCAATATAAAAACAAGTTGAACACATCCCTGTGACCAGCTCTCATAGTATGCCTCTCGTCCAATGAAATGACTTGGTCGCTCTATGACGCGTTGAACCTAATGTGAGCAAATGACTCTGAATGCTGCGACGCAGCACCTGAGATTACTTCCAACAAGTTGTTCACGTTCTCAATTTTTTATGTTTAACGTTATATTCGTTCGGTACACGTGTACCGAACCGAAGGGCCACGTATACGGGTATGTATACCGTTACACCCCTAGCCACTACTCATACTGTTTTAACTTCCCTTCTCCCATTTGGTTTCGATGTGGGGAACTGAAACTACTACTTAACCAATAACATGTAATGGATTTGTATAGCTGGGAGCTCCACACAGTACAAAAATTATTAGGTGGCCCTTCAGCATTTGAACAAATACAAGAACATTTTATTTATATAGCTCAATATCACACATTTAGCCTCAGGGGGCTTTAATGCTTGCATTTGCATTCCTAATACACTACCTATTTAGACAGAAGAATCCCAGGCCACCTCTCAGGCTTCACACCCCTACATTTACCTCAATATGTTTTTAAGTGCACTAATGCCTCCTTGTAGACCCATGTGCATGTTATCAGACATTTTGGGGCACACATTTTGTCACCAAAGATACATTTTTGCACTGTGTGAACAGGGCCTGTGAATCTCAATTGCTGCCTGTGTGTTTCTTTTGAATGCAGGGCATCAATTTTAATAACCGGCACTGTGAAGCATTTGGTTGTCATTGTCAGTCACAAGGGAGCTTCCGAATTGCAGACATGACCATGTCTATGTTGCATCTTTGAAACTATTTTCAAACAATACACGATTCATGAAAGATTTATACCCGTATATATATATCCTGGATGCTTTCTCATATGTTGCAGACAATGTAGCCAAAATAACTAATACATGAATTTGGCCAACCTCGTTGCGCATATGATTTCTAAACTGCAACACACTGTCCCTGTACATGGATATAAATAGTAATCGGTCAATGTTTACATCGATCATAACATGCTGTCGATAAAGCAGAATGCCAAACAAGTCCTAACTCCAGACTCGACTGGCAGCTGCTCATTTGACCCATTTTAGAGAAAAAATAGAAACTGTTGAATCAATGTGACTCCAGTTATATTTTGTTTTGAACAGGGTGTGTGTGTGTGTGTGTGTGTGTGTGTGTGTGTGTGTGTGTGTGTGTGTGTGTGTGTGTGTGTGTGTGTGTGTGTGTGTGTGTGTGTGTGTGTGTGTGTGTGTGTGTGTGTGTGTGTGTGTGTGTGTGTGTGTGTGTGTGTGTGTGTGTGTGTGTGTGTGTGTGTGTGTGTGTGTGTGTGTGTGTGTGTGTGTGTGTGTGTGTGTGATGCTTGTCCTCCTCCTGAGGCTTCTGTTGGCTCGATTAATAATCCTCACATGGTGGTTAAGATCCATTTTGGGATCACAACACTGGGTCTTTTATTTGTTATACAACAACCTGCTTGATATTTTTAGCAGAACTGGAACTCCCTAAAACCAGCAGACAGACTTATGTAATAGGAGCAACGTAAGTCCGACAGGTCAGGGGTGGAAGGCATGGAAAGACATTCCAGTGCAACTTCATGTCCCAGTGCAACCAGCGAGGAAAAACACAACACTCATTGCCAAAGAGTGTTGGCGAATGGTAATGAATAATTGCAACTATACTCTACTTTTTCTATGTTGCTGTTCCCCTTGTTTCTGTTAGTTATCTGGGTTGAAACTGGTGCACCTCAGTTGACCTACTAGACCTCAATTTAATGCATGTGCACTTTAGAGACAATTATGATAATGGTAAATGTGTGGAATGAACATCAATCTCTTATGTGTCAGGCGAGCTGGCACTGGTAGTGTTTTTTTCAGTGACAGGGCGTTTAGCCCCCAAATCTTCATGGAAATGGCCGTTAATGGCATCTCACAAACGTACCCTCTCCTCTGGAATTCCCAACCTCTCACTGTCATCAAGATAAATTGGCCGACTTGAGACTGACACTGCAAGAAGTGTGTGTGTTTGTCCCCGAGCCAAGTCTCCATTATGTCTGAATAGTAGGGGTGTAACGGTACCTGTACCGAAATTATTCGGTACGGGCCCTTCGGTTCGGTACACGTGTGTACCGAACGAATATAACGTTAAACGTACAAAATTGAGAACGTGAGCAACTTCTTGGAAGTAATCTCAGATACGCGTCGCAGCATTCAGAGTAATTTGCTCACATTTTGTTCAATGCGTCATAGAGCGAGCAAGTCATTTCATTGGACGAGAGGCATACTATGAGAGCTGGTCAGAGGGATGCGTTCAAATGTAGTCAGTAATTTGAGGAACTGTCAAAATGGCGAACGCAGATAAAGTTGAGCTCGAAAATCCTCCAGCATCATTGAAGTCTCCGGTTTAGGAACATTTTGGTTTCGCAGTTACGAACAAGGATGACGGACAAAGACAGGTGGACCAAACCAAAGCTGTTTGTCAGCATTGTTCAACTAACATTGGTTACGTGGCTGGCAATACATCAAACTTGCACACTCATTTGAAAAGGCATCACCCGAACGTGAATATCACCCGTACCAAAAGACTGAAGTGCAAACCCAACTCCCACTAGCATGTAAGTTTCCACCACTCGCAAAACGTTCAGACCGAGCCAAAGCTATTACAAACGCCAAATATCCTTATGTTGCCATGTTAGCAAAGCGCTACCTGGCTGTATCTGCTGCCACTGTCCCTAGAGAGAGGGTGTTCTCCACAGCAGGAGACATTGTTAGTGCCAGCAGATCTGCCCTTTCGGCAAGCAATGTGGACAAGTACATTTTTATTTCAAAAAACATGAAAATACAATGACAAGCAGTCATAATGTCAAACTGGCTGCTTAGGTGCTAGTACAGTACAGTTCAAATACAGATTATTTCAGTTAATCGAAAAGCTGCACCTTAATGTTTATTTTATTATATTTTGTATTTATTTTAGTGAATACATTATTCACAGTTTAATAATAATTTTTAAAAAATATGTTATGTTTTGTGATGGTTTTTTCTGCT